CGGCGGGCGGGGGCGGGCGGGGGCGGGCGCGTGGGCGCGGGAGGGTGGGCGCTGGGCGGGCGCGCGCAGAGGGCGCGGAGCGGGGTTTGGGAGGGTGGGCGCGCGGGCGCGGGGGCGCGGGGCGTGCGGGGCGGGGGGCGCGTGCGGCGCCGCGTCGCTGGGTGGGACCGCTTGGCTGGTCTGATTGGCGGGCTCCCGAGGCTCGGCTGTCCCTGCCCCACCAAGGCTGCGCGGCCACCCTACTTTGAGGTGGCGCCGTTAGCTCCATTTCGCAGATGAAGAAATGCCACCCAGACCTGGCCCGCGGCCCGCAGCACCGCGGGATCCTGGACCTGTGGGGCAGCATTGTCCACTCATGCTGTCACTCTGCTTAGCCTAGGCCCGCCCTCCCCCTCTCCCCTCCCCCCAGGCCCGCCCTCCCCCTCTCCCCTCCCCCCAGGCTCTGTCCTCTCTGATTTCTTTCCCTGCTTTTCCCAGAGGGATCTTAAGTTCTAGTGCCCCTCCCACCTCTGCCTAAGTAGCTGGGGTGACAGGTGTGCACCCCTGGGCCAGTTCCCTCTCTCCAGTTTCTTAAAAACAACTGTGGAGGGAGTGGAGGCTGTGCCCGCTGTGGACAGAGCTGTGACTACAGAGGGCGGACACCGCCCCTAGGCACACCCCCTGGCCCCAGGGGTGGCTCACTGAGTGTGGGAAGGCGGCACTGGGAGCAGAGGCCACCTCCACCCCAGGCACCACCTGGTACAGGGCACCTTCCTCCCCACTGTGGGCTTTGAAGCTCCTGCTTGGGGATCTAGGCAGAAGCCTCTTGTGCTGGGCATTTGCTTATCAAAGTGAGCCTGCCCAGGACCCTGGGGGACACTCGGACCAAGGGCAGCCTCAGAGGTCTGAGGCCTCCCGCCCGCCCCTTCCCTGCTCTGCTTTCCAGGGGCTTCTCGCCTTCTGGCCCAGTTGCTGGATCCCCTGCTGCTCTAATCTTGTGCTGTGAGCAGACCCTGTGAGAAGCAGAGCCATGTCTAGGAGCGAGACATCTCACCAATCCCTGGCTTCATCTGTCCAAAGGGTGTCTGGGATTGACCCTGTACTGTAGGTTCTGCTGGGACCCCAGCTTGGGCCCTGACACCCACATCTCGCCCCGAGCCAGGCCCCCGGACCTGCCCATCCAAGGCATCCTGCATGCCCTGGCAGAGGCCGCTGGGCTGAGTGCATCAGGTCTTATCTGGGTGGTGCAGGCCCTGCGGGAGGCCTCCTCCACACTTTGGGGGACCTGGTCCAGGGGTTGACACTAGAGTCGGCCATCCATCTGGGGAGAACGTTGGCGGTTTGGCCTGCTGTCCTGGACTCCCTAGCTTCTAGCCCAGCCTGAGCGCTCAGCAGGTCCCCACAGGCCCACACCACAGGTAGGAGGTACAGGGTGTTCCCACTGCCCCTGGAAGCTCTGTGCCTTGTGGCCCAGCACCCCCAGCCCAGGGAAGTATGGCCCTGTTCTCCCACATGGAGAGCAGCTGAGCCATCCACCTGCCGCCTCCTGATTCCTTCACTCACACTCCTAGCCCAGCCCAGAGCCCCCCCTACAGGACTTCCTCTCCTCCCTCCCACTTCCTTCTGCTTAGAATAGGGCCGTGAGGAAGGTGGGCCCTCAGATCCTGGTGGGACAGCAGGCGGTCTGGTGGCGGACAGGTAAACAAGTTGCTATTTGGCTTGTCCGAGCCCCAGGCCAGGGAGCTGGCACTTGTGGGTGAGCTGGTTCTCTCCCCTCCCATCCCTGGCCTGGGTAGAGTGGGTCCCAGGGCCCAGTGAGGAATTGCAGGGGTGGGCAGCTGGGCAGGGCACCTGCCTGGGAGCAGCCTGTTGACCATGGTGAGGGAGCTAGGGACGGTCTCAGGGCTCCCTGGGGATGTCCTGGGTGCAAGGAGAGGCAGGCGGTGGGTTTCCTGATGGGGCAGAGCTGGGAGGCAGCTGCCCTGAGGTCCTCCAGATGGCTGAATGGGTGGGGTGGGGTGTGCGTGCCCCCTGCACAGCTGAGGAGGACCTGGGGAGGGCCGTGGCATCTCTCCCGTTTGTTGCTGGTTTGCTGGGGACCTGGATGGGGCCAAGCCTGTTTTACTCCCATGGGCGGGAGCAGAGACCAAGGCCTCACCCTCCAGTCTCCTGGCCACAGTGACCTCTGCCCCTTTGGCTCGTGCTCCTGGGGTGGGGGGGTCTGCCCACAGCTGCCAGATAGGAATTTTTACACATCAGAAGTTCACCTCTGCCAGGTGCAGTGGCGCACGCCTGTAATCCCAGAGACTTGGGAGGCCGAGGCAGGAAGATTGGGAGTTCAAAGCCAGCCTCAGCAACTTCGTGAGACCCTGTCTCTAGATAAAAATCTAAAAAAGGGCTGGGGAGTGGCTCAGTGGTTAAGCGCCCCTGAGTTCAATCCCTGGTGCCCCCCGCAAAAAAGTCCACTGCTTTGCTTCCAGTGGCCATAAGTGTCCCTGGGCTTAGGTCATTGTCGTCACCTGAAATGGGAGGGAGCGGTGGTAGCAACTCCCTGGTGGACGGCAGCCTGGGGTTGTGTGAGGCCGTGGGGCAGAGCGCTGGTTGGCTGTGCGCTGACCGGGGCGCCCCTGTGAGCCTGCTCCTCGGCGCCCTGTGCACTCTCAGGGCCGAGGCAGGCGAAGGAGCAGCCACCCCAGGCCGCTTGGCGGAGGGCATGAGACAAACAGGATGGGCTGGGCTCTTGTCCTGGTTCTGGAAACTTCCAGATAAAAAGGGAGGGGGGGGGTGCTGTTGTCTCTTCAGTAATTAATTCCACAAATATTTGTTGAGTGCTTCCTGCACTGAGGACGGGGGCCAGTGGGGACAAGACACTCCAGGGTTACCTGGGAACACGCGGGAGCTGGCTCAGCAGCTGAGCCCTGGGCTGGTCCCGGGTGGGTGTGAGCACTGGCCAGAGTCCAGGGCCCTGACACAGGCCAGCGCTCGAGGGCTCAGGCAAGAGCGAGGTGGGGTGAGTCACAGAACGTTGGGAACCAAGGCCCAGGCCCCCCCCCCCAGGGCCCTTATTTGTCAGACGGGAAGAGAGGTGTCCCTGCCTCCTGCCACTGAGGGAGGCAGAATGTGTCCCCAGGGCAGGGGGCTGTGCCCTTACACTTGACTGTGCACTTAAACGGCAGTGCTGGGGGAAATTAAAACTCGGGGCTGCACCACACAGCCCCACTGGCTCATGTCATTCAAGTTCATGGCCAGGGCTCCCAACAGGGGTGACTTCCGCAAACCTGTCCTCACTCACCTGACCCTGCACCGATTCCCCCGGGGGATATGGCTTCTTGCTTGGCATGGCCCCGTCCTTCACAGGGGAATCATCAGAGTAGTCCTTGTCCCCATGGATTCCAGAGAGGGGCCGGGGCCGTCGTAGTCCAGTACGGGACCTGGGAAGACGTTCCCAAGGTCCTGAGCTGGACTTGAACCCGGGTCTCTCTGACCTAAGAGCCCATGCTGCCCACCAGAGCCGAGAGCCCCAGAATGGGCGAGCCGCCGCGGGGTGGCTGGCACACAGTGGGCACCTGTGAAGTGGGTGGTGGCGAGACTTGCTCCGTGGCCGTGGCACGGGTGGGTTATGGGCACCTTCGGCCCTTCCTTTTCGACCCATTGGTCACATGCCAGGGAACCCCCAGGGCAAGGCCTCAGCTGGGAGAGGCGTTTTGTTCTGAGCCCAACAAAGGGTCTGTGACTGCAGACGGGCAGCTCAGAGCTGCTGGGCGGTTTGGGGGCCAGGCCTGCTGTGGGTTCTGGGCACCTCTGCCCTCCCTCCCCCTGAGCGTCCACCCCACACTTACCAGGGTACAGACCCCTCTGTGACCTGGGCCCCGCCTGGTCTCACCTCACACATCCCGTGGCAGGACAGCCCTGCTGGGGGCCTCACCCTCTTTCTAGATAGGACACAGAGGCCCAGCCCGAGTTGTTACAGGGCAGGGAGTCCCGGCGGGGCCTCCAGGAGAGGGGCAGTGGGACTGGGCCCCGAGGAGTGAGAATGTGCTGCTGTGAGAGGCCTGTGCAGATCCCAAGGGAGCAGAGAGGCCCGAATGCAAGCCGGGGACTTGGATCTGAGCTTCCTGGCGTCCAGGGTGAAAAGGAGAACTGTAGGGTTATGATAAGAAGAGAACACACAGGGTCATTCGCTGAGAGAATGAAAGTTGGGAAAATGTACTAGGGAAGATACATGGACCAGTGGTGGGCTGGCTTTCTTGAGAGCATTTTATGTAAACATTGGTTCTCAATCTGTTTGAACCATCAGTATGCACCCGCCTCTCTTCTCCCCCCACCCATCCTCCTCCTCCTCCTCCTCCGACTCAATCCAGGGGTCTCTATCATATCACTGAGCTCTACCCCCAGCCTTTTTGTGTGGGGCAGAACAGGGTCTCAGTAAGTTGCCCAGGCTGGTCTGGATCTTGTGACCCTCCTGCCTCAGCCTCCCCAATGCTGGGGTTACAGGCGTGTGCCACCGGGCCAGCACCCCTGACTTTTTTTTTCCCTCTGGCACTGGGGATTGAGCTCAGGGGCGCTTGGCCACCGAGTCACATCCTCAGCCCTATTTTGTAGTATTTTCTTTCTTTTTTAGGGACAGGGTCTCACTGAGTTGCTTGGCGCCTCACTTTTGATGGCTTTGTATTCACGATCCTCTTGTCTCAGTCTACCAAGCCACTGGGATCACAGGCATGCGCCACTGCACCCGGTGACACTTTTTAGCTTTGAAATAATTTCACGGTTACAGTATAGCTGCAGGAATGTCGGGGTTTGCTTCATTTCCTCCCGCGTTACCTAGGATAAGACGTGTGTGTGTGTGTGTGTGTGTGTGTGTGTGTAGCCCCCCACCCGTGTGTGTAAGGTATTTGGCAGGAACTTGTTCCTCTGACCCCGAATCCTTCGGTGCACCTCTCCTAAGAGCTCGTGAACCCTCTGCTTAGCCGCAGACTGAAGCCCAGACCGGAGGCAGCTCTGAGCGCTGTCTGATCCGCGGTCCTCATTCCAGTCTCACAGCAGGCTCTGCCCTGTTCTTTGTAAATATTTCTTTCCTGGCCCAGGAGCTCAGCCGAAACCACCAAGTGCATTTAATCATTCTGTCTCCCTGGCCTCGGCCGTCCCCAGCGCAGCCCTGAGTCACCACAAACAGTAGCTCAAGGCCGCAGACGTTGGCTCCCACCATCTTGGAGGCCACAAGTCTGCAGTCAAGGAGTCGGTGGCCTTGCCTGCTGCCTGGCTGTGGCCGTCACTCCTGCCGGCACCTCTGGCTTCACACGAGCTTCTCTGTGTCTCCTGCTCTTCTCCCACGTGTCCCTTGTTGGGTGGATTCAGGGTCTAGGGCCACTTGACCTACGTCTGCAGAGACCCCATTTCCAAGTCAGGCGCAGCCTCAGGTTTGCACATTGTCTGGGGGGTGCCGTTCAACCCCTTGGAGCCTCCGCAGCTGGTCCACTTCTTTGGCCTTAGATTTTTTTTTTTTTTTTTTTTTTTGGGGGGGGGTACTGGGGACTGAACTCAGGGGCACTGGGTCACTGAGCCACACCCCCAGCCCTACTTTATATTTTATTAGAGACAGGGTCTCACTGAGCTGCTTAGTGCCTTGCTTTTGCTGAGGCTGGCTTTGAACTCGGGATCCTCCTGCCTCAGCCTCCCAAGCTGCTGGGATTACAGGCGTGCGCCACCAGGCCTGGCTGGCCTTAGTCTTTCATGTCACCGACCATGGCCAAGCCGGGTGCGGTGGCGCACACCCGTGATCTCAGCTACTCGGGAGGCTAAGGCAGGAGGATCACAAGCTCAAGGCCAGCTTGGGCAATTCAGTGAGACCCTGTTTCAAAATGAAAAGGGCTGGGGACATAGCTCAGGGGTAGAGCACCCCTGGGCTCAGTCAGTCCTCAGTGCAGGTAGCGAGGGGGAGCCATGGCCAGTTCTTCTGGTGAACTCAGGTCCCTCAGTGTCCCTCTGGCTTGTCAGGCTGCTGCTTTTGGAGGAAGGCCACAGAGGCAGTGTGGGGTCCGTGCCTGGGGTTGGGGGTGCACGACGTGGTGGCCTCTCACTGTGGCGGCCTCTCACTGTGGCGCTTGCTGGTTGGGACGGTGCCTTCGGCTGTTCTCATTTTCTGCTGAGTCTCACCTGTGGTCCAGCTGGGTGTGGCTGCCCAGGACCCAACTTCCTGGTGGCCGAGTGGTGAGTGGAAGTGCCCAGGGGTTGATTAAGGGCCTCTGGAGCCTGGGGCAGGGGGCGGGTCTCTCTGTGGCTTATTTCTGGGCACACAGCCCCTGGGCATATGGCTTCTGAGCCCCATTTGACAGATAGAGAAATGGCTCCAGGAGTCTGATGAGCCGGGACAGCAGGGACGGTGGGAGGCCCGCTGGCCTCATAAGGGTGGCCTCCGCAGGTCAGTGTGCTCTCCGGCCCTGAGGTGGGAGGTTCCTGTTTTTCAAAAAGTCCAAGCCCCCTTTCAGGGTCTGGTGAGGCTGAGATGTGGGGGGCAAGTGGAAGCCTCTCGGGTCAGAGGAGGGTCAGCTCGGCCTCGCGGTTATGAGCGGTTTTGGAGGTGGGTGGCCTACGGTCTGCATCACAGCTCCTGCCAGCTGTGTGTTGGTGGGTGAGCCACTTCACCTCTCTGAGCTGTTCCCTAATCTGTAAAGTGTCGAGGACAGAACCTGCCTCAGGGCGGTCTCCTGTGCGTGGTCTTGTGCCTCAGCCTGGTGGTGGCATCGGGTGGCTGCTGGCCATGGTGACCTGAGTGTAGTCCAGGCCTGTGGAGGACTTGCAGATCACCTGGTCCTGTCTGGTTCAGAGAGGGGGAAGGGACTTGCCCGGGGATGCCCAGCTGGTCACCTGCACAGGTGTAGGTATGAGCATATGAGGTTCTTTTTTTTTTTGGTACCAGGGATTGAACTCAGGGGCACTAGACACTGAGCCACACCCCCAGCCCTAGTTTGTATTTTATCTAGAGACGGGGTCTCACTGAGCTGCTTAGTGCCTCGCCATTGCTGAGGCTGGCTTTGAACTCCCAATCCTCCTATCTCAGCCTCCAGAGCTGCTGGGATGACAGCTGTGGGCCGTCGCGCCCTGCATGAGGTTGTTTTTGGGTAACCTGGTTTTCTTTTTGGCGCGGCCCTGGGGCATGGATGTCTGTTCATGATTAACCCAAAGCCACTTCATTCTGAATGACAGTCCAGTGTTTGTCACAGGGATGTTACACAAAGGACCTGCCCCTTTGATTGAGCAGGTACAGATGTCCTAGAGTCAGTCTCTGCCCTCCCACGCTGCCCTCTGGCGTGGCTGTTGGCTGGTGGCCGGCGGCAGGCTGTTGCTTCTTTGGGCTGAGCCCCACCTGGAGCTTCCTCCCTTACTCAGTCTACAAAGTGCAGATTCTAGCTAAGTAGGTGTAGACGAATCAATGATCACCCACTCCGATCCACCGAAGGACCCACCCACCGTCCACACCTAAGAGGCCTGCGGGGCTCCACTGCCCCTTTGAACCCAGTTTCTTAGGGCCGCCAGGTGGCTCCTGTCTCCTGCAGAGAGCCCACCACAGCAAGCCAACGGGGCTTGGGTCAGCTGAGTCACTTCTCGCAGTTGAGGGCCACAGCTCTCTGGGCCCTGGCCTTCTGCCTTGTGTGTAGCGGAGGCCCTCAGAGGGCACGGCTCCCAGCAAGTGCCCCGCAGACACAGTGCTTGGG